CGACTTTGAGAGTGGGTGTGTTTCACGAATCGTTGATGTGCATGGGTATGCTCCTCGAGGTTAGCTCTTGCAGCACTGCTGCGACTGGAGCCCGGCGGCGTGGCATTCTTTGCGCCAGTTTGCTCCAGCTTTTCAGACATGTGTGTCGCACAAAGCAAGCGTGCTTGGTACTGTCCGTTGGGTGACGAGTCCCGGGAATTCGTGCAAACCGGCAATGTATTGGCTCATAGGCGGCTGTACTGCAATGGAATCCAATCACCTGTCATTTTCTTCTAGAATGACACAATTCAATGATATATACTGATGCATGTGCTGAACTTCCCTGCACCCGAATCCGAATCGTTTCTGTGCCAAGGACTATACTGCTTTGCTACCTCTGCGCGGCTCTCTCCATCGTGTTCGTTGTTGAGCAACCTGGCAGTGCGAGGTTCGGGGACCTGCCCAGATGGAGGTATTTGTGTGATCACGTCGCCTATGCTGTTTGTCTGCAATAGTCATATGCGTGAGGGCTGTTTGATGCTTTGTAATTTCGTCATTATATGAGTCCTGCTTGCAAGACTGCAACATCAGGTTTTCAAGCAAAAGATTTACATGAGCACGCATGGTGCTGATTCACGCAAACCCACATGTTTATGGAGCAACAGCCACACCATCCGTGCCTTGTACTTGGGCGAGACTTCAAGAGCAGCTTGACCTTGTTGGCAGTGTCGATTGCACAGCAAGGTGTTGAATGAGTGCAGTTGTTGAGTCTGAGACTTATCATTCATGAAGTGAGGAGTCGTGCAAAGTCAAGAAGGGGAAAGATCTTGTCCACCGCTACAAGGATGCCAAAGGACGGGTTAGATGGACTGGCAACAAGTACCTCAAGCAAAGTCAGTCCAGCCCCGAATTGTGTCGGAAAGCTTGTATTCGTTGGTGCATAGAAATATAACTATAGTCTGGTTGCTACTAAGATCCTACACATGTGGGTTCGGCTACAACTTCGCTGCCCTCATCCCGCGGCTTACGGATGGTCTTTGGGGCCTCCGCAATCCCCGAGAGGCTTCGTCTGCAAATATGCTTGACTTTAGGAAGCCCTCTATATTTATTGGTGCTCGAATCGAAGGTTCCTGACATGCTGAGAAGAGATGACCTGCTGAGAAGCTTTGTAGATGATGACCTCTGGCTGGATGCCAATATGGAGGAGGTAAATACTTATCTTCGTGGCTGCACAGGCTTGAATCTGCCTACTGCCATGAAGGATGCACTACGTGTGTAGATTTCGAAGGACTTGCAACATGCCTAATTCAGTGTGTTCATGTGCTGCTACACATGCAACTCAGACAATGACCTCAGTTTGCTGCTTGGTGCACTATGCAAGCAACATGTCGGTTTGTGCAATGTGTCTGCAGTTGTTGATGCTGGGAGGTGGGGGTGAGTAGGGGGTTGCTTGGCTGTGCAACAAGCCGACATGCCTCTCATCAGTTTTGTCTTACCACAGACAGAGAGAGAGAGAGAGAGAGAGAGAGAGACATACATATATATATATATATATACATATATACATATATACCTATATTTAGATTCATATTCATATTATAGTTATAATGTTATATCTATATTAGTATAATACAATGTAGTAAAATATGATGTAATGCAATGTATAATGTAATATATAATGTACTGAATG